ACAAAAACCTTTAGGTGGAATTGTCCTACTTTTTTTTCAAGGGCGCGTAATCAAAATGCTTCCAGTCTCTAAAAACATCTTATATTTATCCACAAAAATACAAGCCAAGAGAAAGAATGGTTCTCTTGAATTACTAGTACAATACTTCTCTCAATCCACATTCACCCAGAACGGCATTAGAAACCACCGCCGCGATAAGCGAAAACTGACAGAAAGACCTGAAACACAAAATCATCCACTGAAATTTTATAAATTTTACCTCCAGCTCTGCATTCGTTCCAAAGCCATACCCTGTGGACTTACCACTAAACAGTATGAAATGCAATACTAATACAAGTTCCAAATTGTACTTCAAGAGGGCAAATCCTATATTGTACATATTCTGCTGTACATGAATAGTGACAAATATCTCATCTAGGACAGCTTGAAAAACCAGCTTAACTCTTCTGAAAGACCACCTAGTGCACTTTAAAATGCCACAATAATTGTCATTTCAAATTAAAGGTAAATGCCGTGCATACAAAAGAAAAATGCAAACGCAAATCTTGGGGACAGTGATTCATCCTTTAAAACGATGTCCTGACAGGGACAGGTACCTGCTTGTGTAGGCAGAATAACAAGTCACATAGTTTTCAATTAACTGTATATTTCACCTTTTCTTTTGTTAAAGAGGTCGTGGATGGCAGCAGAGACGAAAACTGCTGGCTGTGTTTCAGACAAAAGAAAGATGAAGCTGGCTCATTCCCCAAGATCGAATGGGGAATCTTGGTTTAGACAGCGTTCTTGAGTGCAGAATGGGGAGAGGGACTAGCAAGAAGGGAGGCTGCTGCACCAGTACTGCCTGGGAGACTCTAGGGAGGAAAAAGGAATTTATGTAAAGCAGGACATGGGTCTACAGAGCAGGCTTAGATGATCCACACAAAGTTTCGTAGAAGCCCAGAGGACTGTGTGGAAGGTGTCTGAATCAGAAAGCCACTGAAGGTTGCTGGGGCAGACTGCAAGGAAACAATTCATCCTGCAAAGATGCTGTTTACAGGAGATGGATTTATTTTTAAGCCTTTCTGCCCCACCCAGCTGATCTCCCATTTAAAGAAAAAACCCTTAATTCTAAGTTAGCAATTTTCTGATATAATTCCAACAAAGTATGGCTTTAGAGATTAAAGCCTATAGGTGCCCTTGCTGTAGGGAAGGCAGTGTGACAGCTCTGGCACGAGGCGCTGGCCTGACTGCCATCCTGCCGTGGCACTGCCAGAAGCAACAGGTCTGCACGTCATCCTCAAGTTAAAAACGAGGTTCCTGGGGGAGGGAGAACAACGCCATATCCTAAAATCAAGGCACCTATATAGCACGGATGGACACAGAAGGATGTGTTTGTTATTCTACTTTTTCCCTTTTTCTTTTCTGAAACAGAGAGAGAAAGAGGAAGGAACATGGGGATGACATAACAGTACAGAGTCATTGACAAAGTTCTTGGAGGAACTGTGGGACAAAAGTGAATCTTTTCCAACTGAGCAATCAAAGGCAAAACCCCATAATTTTTGGCCAACTCAGAGGCCTCTAGCGGGGCTGAGGGGAGCTCCATGGAGGAGCTTGGCAGAGCCAGAACCTGCTCTGAGGAAGGAAAACAAGACACTTGGTTGAAAGGGAAGGATGCTGGGCTTTCTAAAATGCTTATGGAGGATGTGAAAAGAAGCAGGAAGATGCTGGGGTGCCAGAGGGACACAGGGGCGTTGTGCAGCCCTAGACTGCTGAAACTACAGAAGAATAAAAAGGGGCAATATGCACAGCAGGTCTTTTCAAGATCCACAGCACCACCTCCCTCCGCCGTGGCACTGCTGGGAGAGAGAAAAAGCTGACAAACCTTCCCACAGGGTGCAGTCTCAGGAAGCAACACAGAGTGGGCACTATTTCAGGCAGACGAGGGTCCTGCAAAGCAAGCAGACAATGTAGCCTGAATGTGACCAGGAATGCAACCGGGCAGTACGCTCAAGGAGGGAAAACCAGTGCTGGATTACCCAGTGCCAGTACTAACCTGGCCAAGATTACCACGTCTTTGTCTAAATGTGGTTTAATTTTGGGAAGGAGAAAGATGAATATGCCCACTGTCTCGGTGTAGAGACACACGGCACAATGCAAAGGACATGGAGCATGCCTGAAATGAAACCCAGGATGAATACCCCACTATAAATAAAGAAAATACTGGTTTGGGGATGGCCCAGATAAATTCTAAGAGAAGCCCAGCACCAACCTTCAGCAATATAACAACACACTTAATAGATCTGCATGAAAACCAAAACAGGTTGCTAAATTCAATGAAGTCGACAAAGAAACTTCTTGTCACTTAAAAAAAGGGCCTTTTTGTTTGTTTTGTAGCTTGGTACAGGTGAGTTTGGATTTTAGCAAGCTTTCTATATATTTGCCAGATGCCTCAACACTGATTTATGGGCTGCAGAAAGAAATATTTCATTCTCTGGGACATGTCAGTAAAAATTTGTCAGCTGGGAACGGAACCACAGCACCACTAAAAAGAAAGCTTTACAGATGCATTTAAAAAAACCAAACCAATTCTACTTACATAATTTTACTATATAAACAGTAGAACAATTCACCTTTAAAAAAAGATTATCTTAAAGGAGAAATTCCAGTCTGTGAGGTAGAGATTGTCACTGCAAGAAACTGCGCAAAAATGGCAAAGAGGAAAGATAACCAGGATGTTGACTCTGCTTAGGCAGAAAGATGCTTGGGCAACTAACCTCAAAAAGCTCCTTTTGAGTCCTCCTTGCCATAACAACAGCTGCGGCATCTGAGAACACATGGAACTTTAATACTCACAGAAATCGTCTGCCTAGAACATGAGCTGAAATTCTTGGTAACTCCAGGTGTTCAGCATTTCTGAAAATCAGATCTATGATACGCTCTATTTGCTAAAAAATATTGAGGAACAAGAGAGGTAATGACCATTATTACTGTTTCTCTGAAGTCCAATGATGAAAGTCAAAGAAAGAACATATAAAGATCACAGCTGAAATGGTTCAGGAATTATAGTCATAAGTTCCCTGTCACATTGGCATGCCTGGACTTCTTTTAAACTGCAATAAATTCATATTGCAGTTACTAAGCACAATTCCCCAGAATCACCTCACGAATCACACATCTGAGCAGCACTGCACGGCCATTACAGGTTGGCTACACAAACAAATTAATTAGGTAAATATTTTCAACAGACTTTTCCCACCTTTTTAAAATTCATCTTTGTTTTGTATCACCTGTTCTCCAAGAATTTAATAAAATATTAAAATGTTGAAGTTGTGCAAGCTTATTATGCATAATTTACCCAGGATTTTGAATGGCACACCATGTTAAGACAGCTCAATTTCACATGCATAGCCCTATTTCCCTAAATGAAATCTGCAGATTTGGGAAGGAAATAAAGCTTTCAGTTAAAAACAATAATCAGAGCACAGAAAAGGCAACTATATATAGTCTAATTCATGGCATTACAAACCATGTTTCTACTCTGTAAATTCAACTGTACAGAGTTTTTTGTTATGTCAGTAAGTAGGGATAAGGGATTATAGAAGATAACTCAGTATGAACATGGTTTGTGAATCCTGTAGAGGAAGTCACACAAATAAAGGAATAAGACATTAAATAACAGAGACTATGACATGCTGTAGACTGAATGTGGAGGTGGCATGGTGAGAGAAAAAAAAAAGTCTGTTATTAATCCAGATTAACATGGCCTGATATACTTGCTTCAGCAGTAATTTCTACTAGAAAATCCCTAGAAAACAACAAAAAAAGAACACATAGGCAGCACTCTGCTTCCTGGAAGCTGAACACAATATACCGAACATATCTAATTTCATGCCAGTTTTATCAACTGCAACACGAGCAGAAGCTGAACAAGCAGGCTGGTCTTCCAAGTAAAGCGTCAGTCTTGAGTTCAGTCCCTGGGCAATCACAGCCGGCTTACACTATTCACCAACCTCCACCTCTGTTTGTTTTACAACATTTTGTCAGTGAAGTCTCTCTAGTTCGTACAATACGTGAGGGGAGTGACTGCCTTGGTTTACAACTTGCAGAGCACTACTGTAATGAAGCACTAACCCTAAGACAGCACTGGATAGAAATAATAGAACATTATGATCAAAGTATCTATTGGTGGAATTCTGTAATTAAGTGCAGAGGAGAAGTGTGCTGTAATGGTAACAAGTTAACAAGTTAGCAAAAAGGAATAAAAACCCACGCTCTTAGTGTACAGAAGAAGTAGAAATAATTTTGTCATGACTTGAAACAGTTCAAAACCAAGGAAGTGATTATTTTTGAAAGACAGAACGCAAAAATAAAAGTTCAACGATCCACACTGTTTGGATAAATTCTCAGCTAAAAAACCCGACCAAGACCCTAAACAAAATAACCCCCCCACCAAATTCCAAGATGCTTGCTTAACATACCATCAGAATTCAGGGGCAATAATGATTTATGTCAATTATTGTCTTCTTCCTTAACTGCATATATGTTTGTGAATCAAGTGTCTCCCAGTTCTCTTGCTGGAGCTACTAATCTGCCCAGTAAATTTCCGGAATCACCTTAAAATCTTTATGATTTGCCACTTCGTGACCCCAAAACTACTTGCAATAGATAAACTGAGGGTCAGCAGTGGCTGCTCTGCTTAGATCCTTGATCTGGAGGAAGCAAGTGCTACTGCCAGCCCAGGAATGAAGTGCTAAAGCAGAACAAAGCCATTGCTTTTGTTCTGGAGATTACAGTACGACAGATCATGAAACACTGCATGATGTTTAATTAATTTAACAATTTCTTGCATTATAGCACTAAGCTGTCACACAAAATGTGAATATGACACATTAGAGAAAGAACTAAAGAAATTGTGCTAGAACTGTGAGGATAATTGTTTTCATTGTGCTCATTCTGCTGCAAACTGGAAAAAAAAAAAACCCAAACCAACAGAATATATAGATTGTTTGGAAAGAACATACCTATTAATTCCTTATTTCTGACATCTAAGGCCATGTTTCGTAAAGCTGTAGCAACTGCACATACCACCCGGTCATTGTCTATTCGAAGCAGTTCCACCAGGATTGGCAATCCTTTTTCTTTGCGGACAGCAGCGCGGATATACACTGACCACTGTAAAGACACATGGGAGAGTGTGAAGAAGAGAGTGAGAAATCCACCACAGAAAGCAAGGCATCCGAGGTTATAGCAGATACAGACTAAGGGGTAACAGAAGCATGCGGATTCAAACTCAAAAGAGGGGAAATAATTGCATTTATGATGCTAGGCAACCACCTGATTTGGAAATCTGCACTGATTTTTTATGGCGGCAGAGAAATTAAATGATGAATTGACTTTACTCCTAGTGCACCTGGTTACATTTTTACAGCCCAAGTCTGCAGACCACTTGCTTTGCATCAGCATTTCCTATGCAACATCTAATGATGCTTGTTCACTGCTAAAATAACAGAATTTCTATTACGAAATATATATAACAAAACATATTCAAGAGGTTGAGTATTGCTTTGTTATTACCATAGGAACTATTCAGTCTAAACCCATGAAAATGCTGTCACAATTCCTCTATGGTTGTCAACTTGTTCAGAAGGAAAAATGAGGAGAACTCTATGTCTGGTTTTGGCACCTGTCGTGGTGCTAACCGGCAGACTGTCGTACATTGAGGAGTTCGAGATTCACGTAAGAGTTGACCTGAGGCAGGTGCAGGCCTGTGCTGTGCCGTGCTGCAGGTACCAGGCGGCTGCAGGACAAACCCAGCAGCTGATTATATTGGAGAAGCCTGTAGGCATCTCCCACTTGGCAGCTGGTCATGACACCACTGGCATGTCTTGTCTTTATCTCAAAGCGAAGCAGCACGTTCTCACATGAACGTCCTTTTTGTTTGACAGTAGAAATGATGAATAGAGTTGTTTACTCCTAAGAAAATCCTCTAAGAGCTCTAAAGACTATCATGCCAGTGAAACTTTCCACGGATGGGACCTGTGCAGCATGCTGTGACTAGAAGGTCCATCCAATGTTGCACAACTTGGGGTTCCTTGCACCCTACGGATGAAAGATTAACTATACTTTCCTCTTTTTCATTCCACTGTTACCTCCAGAAGTTCGGAAAAATGTAAAAAGACCAAAACCGTGACCTTGTGGTTTTAAAATCTATGGGTATTGCCAAATTTGAGATGTTTGGACACCTACAGGTCTTCTCAGCACAGCCTGCTTCAAAACCAGCCATCTACTAGGCATATATTTCTTCTCACATCCTGAACTCTTCTCTGGAATATTCATAAATTTCACACTCATGCTCCTTGCACTGACAGTTGAAAAGAACTTTCTGAAGCAGAGATTCCCTCTCCTTTCAGAGCTATGGCACAGATGCTTAACCTGCCACCATGCCTGGAAGGTGAAGACAAAGTTCTGGAAGCCCTTAGACTTTGAAATACTTCAAATATTTCAGAAACTGGGATGATAAGCCTTAGAATTTTAAAATCATCATGAAATTTCCCTTTTGACAAACCTTCCCTAAAGAACAGTTAGATCCCACCTTTAAGAACAGCTACATCGCAATAGTGTTCCTCCATAAACAGAAAGAGTAAAACCAAATTCCATTACATAAAGCATTAGAAAAAGGTAAGTGCACTCACTGTCAGCAGACCATGCTAAACCTCTGCATAGGGCCTGTACTTACCACAGCTGAAGTGCTCACTTTAATAGCTAGCATCTGTTTATACCACAGATGCCCTGAATAGCAAAATCCAGAATATAGTTTATGATAAGAACAGTTAATACAGAGACAGACAGAGGCTGCAACGTTGCAATATCTGGAGTGCAAATTCATTCCAGGTGACGTCTTTCGCGGGAAATTGGGAAAATGGAAAAGAAACCAGCATTTAAAGAATATTATTTTATTATTTCTCATTTGTAGTAGCTCTGCATAACAACAGCCAGCAGCCCTGACTTCGCTATAGATGAAAGTGATAATGGTTATGATAAGCTTCCAAGTTAGGTAAACGGGACATGGGCTTCTCAGCATCAGTGAGCACAGTAATATGATAATGGTTATGATAAGCTTTCAAGTTAGGTAAACGGGACACGGGCTTCTCAGCATCAGTGAGCACAGTAATGTAGTATGTCTGAAACGTAAATGCGCCATCATTTTCTTCAGCAAAGCAAATAGCTCTTAGGTGAGGGAAGAAGTGGTAGCAGAATTCTTGATTGATCTTACTCTATGCTCTCTCCTGCAGCCTCTTCTCTAGAACCAGTGTACGGGATGATCATCAGATAAAAAACTAAAACACACCTTAAGGATCAGTGAGTTCAACTGAAAGTGTCTGCTGAAAAATAATTTCTTTCTTATACATTGATTTTAATGGGGTATTAAATATAAAGGATGCTATGAAAACACCAAATTAATCCTTCTAAGCTTCCTGTTTTAATAAACACGTATTTACCTGCCAGTTAAACACACTCTCACCTGCAGCTGGGAGTACCCGAAGCAATAGCTCTTCGCACTGAAAACCTCCTGTCGCTGTGTTTGCTGCACCTCTCCCAGGGGAGGGCCCTGCTGTGATTACAGGGTGACTCCCGGAGTGAGAGCTCACGGTAGCAGTGAGACCATTCTGAGAAAGGGTTGGGCCTGGCTGGTCGAGGTGAGAGTTCAAGCTAGCAGTACACTGAATGATGCTGTCGTTCACTGCAAATGTACATCAGAGATGTAGTGCCTCCAATGCGGATTACGTGGGGAATCAGTGGGGGCGTTCGTTTTTTAAAAAACTCTTACTTATATTTATTCAATACCAGAGAGAATCTAAAATGATCTTGCAGATTATTGACGATATTATAAAAACCTCCATACTAAAACCTCAGTAAACACTTTTCCTTTGATTTTTTTTTTTGTCAGCTACCAAGGGAAAACACAAGCACGTCTTTTATGAAACCTAGGTTTATAACAGACTTCTTGGGTTGCAGTATTTTCACCATCCATTCCAAAACAAAAGTCTAAAAGAAATAAAATGAGAATTTTTTTTATTTAACTCTAGGGAGAGCAGAAGATGTTGTAGGAGAAACGCTGAAATAACTCAGTATGAAAAAAAGAGAAAATATAAACCTCCTTAATGAATAAATGACATGCAAGCTTTCAGCATCCATAATGAATCAATTCATTTGATCACAATAGTAAAAAATACAGCTCCAAAGTTTTCTCAGGGGAAAAATCCAGATATAATGTTTTACAGACGCACATATGCACACACATACATAAAACAGTGGGAGAAAGAGAAAAAAGTATGTATGAAGCCTCTCCTCTCCCCTGTGCATTGCTCCCCCCCAGCTCTCTCCTTCCAGAGAACGCCATCCGCTCTGGGAAAAGTTCATAGGCTCCTCAGTCCATGATTTGCTATCATTTCATCTCCGTTTTCAAGCCATGCACCTTAGGCAGAAAGACAGAAATGTCTATTAATTGTTTCAACAGTCTCTGGAGAACTTTCCAAGTGGAAAGTGGTAAGAACTGTCTGTGTCTCTTTCCTTACGCTGCCAATTAGGATGCGTCTCTGCAAGAAATTATGCTGCGCTGTGCGGATTTCAGGAATGCTCAAATTGAGATGCCTCAAAACGGCTATTTCATTCTCTCAGAGAATGGAAAAATTGATTCGCTCTTGCGTATACTGATGATCCTTTTGTTTGCCCAAAGCCATCACGAAACGCGCCTGCATTTCCACATTGCAGGTCAATTGCTAATATGAGCTCAGTGAAGTATATAAAAGAAGAGATGAAAAATCATAAAAAAGAAAAGAGACAAAGGGTTTGTTGCCTATCAGTAGGTAAATGAGGCACTCTGCCAATATACTTAATCATCCTGTTGCTCCACAAATCAGTGGTAGTGTCAACGACCAAATAACTGTTCAGTTTGTAAAGAGAAAGGGCTCCTACGGGAACAGTAAACACTTTAGAGGAGCCAAAAATTAAAATAAAATCATTATTGTTGCATCAGATTGTGGCTAAATTATCAGAGACAAGCACAGGAGCCACAATCTGTGCATGAATACTCTTTACAGATAATTGAATTCGGGGGGCATAGCTACTATACATCACTTTGAAGGTATTTAGTGCATCTCTATGTCCACTTTCATTAGTAGTTCCCTTTTTATTTGTGCCATGGTAATTAAGTAGAAAAATAAGAGTAAACTGGAAAATTATTTTTTAGTTTGTCACAGTTATTATAAAGGACCATTTCCAGAGCTGAATGCCTCTAGGGATTAAGATTACATTAGGCTGAAACTCAACAAAAGAGTAATTAGTCCAGATAAAACTTCCTTCTTTTTTCAGAAAAATTGATAAGCATTTAACTGCTTAACTCCTTTTAGTGTTTCATATGGTTTTCTTCTATTCTCCTTTGAAGCACCACCACAGGAGACCAAACTAAAAATGAAGGAATTTCCAGCACAAAATGAAAAAAAAAACACCCCCACCCCAAAACTCCAACACAAGTCCTCCAAGGAATACCAACAACTGTATACACTTGGTATTTTGAACAGATTTACTTCCTTTCTATTGACATCAGTGTTATCTGGGCATCTCCAGAGTATTTCACCATCACACACTTCAGTTTTGACCAGAATTTGCATTGTATTGGTACAGTTCATCACTGTGACTCAAAGACTACTGAGATATCAAATATTAAAGGAAATTGCTGAGACATAAACTAAAAAATGAAAGCCAAATCACAGCAGCAATCATCACAAACCAAACTAAATTACGACCAGAACCAGGAAGATTAGAGAAACTCAGATTTTGCTAGGAGAGACTTAGAAAGGGGCCATCTGCTAACAGGAGTGGAACTAAAGACCATGGAAGAGAACTGCATGCTAAGTAATCAAAGATCAGCGAGTAACCAAAGATCATTATTCCTCTTCATCTGATCGTATTAAATGTAATACATGGATCAGGAAAAAAAGAGAATATTTTTACATTTTTATATTTCACTTAGAAAATTACAGATCTACTTTACTCAAATAACTCTACTAGGATCCCAGAGAAGTCACACCACCTGACAGAGAGCAGGGCTCTGAAATCTTGGTTATCTTTTTGCAATTTCTGAAGAGAGCAAGCACTTCCCAGGGACTTTC